CTTCTCCCAAATTCCAGCTGTCTCTCTCAAGCATTTTTTATCAGGCTCCAGCCTGCACTTCCTAAGCTTGGTCTAACTTTAAGAAAGGACAAAGAAGGTGACCAGGGCAAGACATTGACAAAGACTTTCAACTTTGCAGCAATACTCAATGATTTCTCTTAAACTGCTTTTGAATGCAGTAATTGCCATATCTTTTCTGTCAAGGTGTATTGTGGGTCCTCACCACAAGTCCATGCCATATAACCTAAAGTAAAGTTGCTGTCCATAGACCTGAAATTGAGTATAATCTACTGTGTCCAATGGCACTGTGTGTCATCTTTCAGAGGTGGTATTAATCACAATCTAGACATTTTTGCATTACTTTGAGATAATTTATTTTGGCTTTTTTATTTGATTGTGTTAAGTTTATTTCAAGACCACTGTTATGCTCCAGCTTGTTCAATGTTTGTCTCCAGAAAAGCCAGGAGGGTCACAGCAGGCAAAGATTTAATTTAAATCTCACAATTTTCCTCTAATAAATTACAGAAACACATTACAGACAAGGCTTCACTACAAACCCCTCCTTCAGCTGCATACTCATTGATTTTGGGGGCTCATCTCAGCCTTGGCCCCACGCATCGGACGAGATGCTTCTGAAAAGCTACGCCCAGTGGCAGATTGTCCCATGCTGGTATAGTTTAAATAAGGAACAAGGACGTGAGCCCAAGGAGTTCAGTACTGGCTTGGCAAATCAATTCCATAGTTGTTTCCATAAAAATTTCTAGTAATATGAATAATAAGCTCTTCTGTATTCTGTGCAATTGCAGCTACTTCTCCTGATTGGCATAATTTTGCATATTTGGAAAGGAACCACATCCTCTTTGTTTGGTACAAAAGAGTTTGGAAAACAATTACTACACATTGCTTACCAAAGCTTATGTGCAAGACTCCTCAGAGGTACATGTTCAACTCATGTGTTTCATGAAGTCAAATAATTTTCACCTATAATTGATAAGACTTCCCAGAAAAAACAAAGGAAGCATTACACTCTGCATATGGTGCTAGAGCATTTGTCTATTAAAGGACTTCACCCCTGTGGCATGTGTCTTCATAACTCTTTGTGAAAGTAAAAGCTACTCTCACTACCTGCACCAAGTGTCATACTCAGATGCTTCTTTCAGGCTCTCAGCATAGGGTACTTCAAACATGCACATTTACTTTAAACATCTGATTCTTTTCTTTTGAATGCTGCTGCATGTCACTGAGGTCAGTGGAATGTTCTTTGACTGTGTACACATGAAAGGGAAGGAGAAGCGGGAGCTGAGCTTGCAACTGGTTTGCTGAGACAAGCCAAGGGTGAAAGTCAGCTGAGGAAATGGTGCTCAGTTCTTGAGGTATGCGAGGCTAGGGCTCCATTCTGGGATGAAGCAGAAGTAAGGGACAGCTCCCAGAACTAAAAGCGCACAAAGAAACGGAGATTTTAGCAGAGCTTGAGAGGCATCTCCCAACACTGCATCTCTTAACAGAAGAAATATTGCAACTAGCCTTACTCTGTTCTGAGCAAGAAGTAAGGGAGCCTTTGGGCTGAGAAACACAACCACAGAGGTCCAAGGTTTTGGAATTTTCTGGGTTTCTCAACTTTCTGATGAACCATGTGGTATCTGCTGCTGGATCTCTACCATAACTGCTGCTGTCACCAGGCTTCAGCCTTCCTCTTTCTGGAGGAATTACAACCAAAGATGAAGAACCAGAAGAAAATGTTAAAAATCCAGTCTCTTCATTCTCCTGTTTTATGACTCTAAGGGCTACTTCACAGAACAGGTGAAAATTCCCCACGAAAAAATGGAAAAAGGTTTCATTTCTTGATGTTCTTACCTAGTGGGTTTTTTGGGGATTTTCATTTAAAAGAAAAACACAATTAAATCCCATCTTCCCCTCAGAAAACTATACTCCCCTAAATATTTCATCAAACGTCAACAAAGCAGATCTGATACAGGGAAAAGAAAGACAAAACCAATGATCCACCGTTATTTGGCATTGCAATGTTAGGAAGTTTCCATTTCTTTGTACTTCATTGAAAGGCTATCTATGTATGAATCTGAGGGGCTGGGCAGCAACCTCTGTACCGTCATTACGATAGTGGGGAAAACCTCTTCAGATACTATTTGAAAAGTAGGACAGGATGAAAATGGCTTTTTATAAAGAGCTAAGAAATAAAATTTGCTGTTTAAAGCTCCATATGGTAAAAGTAAGGAAAGACATCACTGTCAGGATGGCGCAGAGACATCATGTCACCTCTAAGGATAGTGCATCCTTCTTTGTGTCACTTGTGAAGCTGAGATTGCACTGAGTCCTCCTGAGAAGGACAAGAAGCAGCTGGCAAGGTTCTCCAAAACAGTAAGCTGGGATGGGTTGCAACTTGAATTTTAACTGGAAGGGAGGATCTCTGCAAAATCTGAACCATATATGTCAAAGCAAATTCAGCTTTCAGTTTACATCTGAATGCATCAACTCAGTGGAGTCTAACGAGATGAACCAAGGTAGGAGGGAGAAGAACTTGTTCCCACTTCTCCAAACCCTTTAGGAGGAGTCAGGTTTCAGAAAGGGACAAACAGCTCTCTGTGAGGCAGATTACACAGATCATTGCTTATCTGTCAACTCAGAAAATAAATATTAGGAGCAGGCCAGCAAAAGCAAAGGTGCTTGTCCCCAGTACAGCTAGGAAGAGTGGTTCTTGAATGGCAGGGGAATTACAGCTGCTCCTTTTGATGGGCACCAGCTCTGCTCCACTTCATGCAGACGTGATGAGCAGAAAGCTATCTGGAGGATTCACCTCCCTGTTTGCGATGTTCAGTGGGAAGCTGAAGCCTCCTTTTATAAGGCACAGAACTAAGGAGGAACTTTGTGAAGTTAAGGCAATCCAGACATACCAGGGTTCTCAGCAAGGCAGCTCAGATTCTAGTCTTAATCCTTTTAAAGCATACAGACAACATATAATTGTATTTCCTAGGGAAGTTTAGAAAGTGGTTGGAGTCATGCAGAGACAATAAACCAAAGCTAATGTATTAGGTTACTTCAAGCCACAGAAGATTTACCAACTCCCCTTGTGCCAGATACAGCCTTTTGGCTTCACTAACAGGAATTCGATTACTTCTAAACTCAAAAACCAGGTTACTTACCCTAAAAGAGAAAAGAAGCAAAAGCATGACTGTTTCTGTACCCAGTGGGATCCTGTCAAAAGGGTGCAGGATGGAGAAATGCGAGGCTTTCTACGGCTCAATACTGACAGAACTCAAGCTAAAAATAATGTAAATAATGTGAATATGCACGATAGGAATGCACCTTGTGGCTGCTGGGATTGCTGCACATGTGATGGAAGTTCTCCTGTTTTTTCAATGAGAAGTACTTTTTAATTACCCTCTTCCATTTACTTTGCAATTTGTACTAAAGTGGTGGAATCTGATTTAATTCTTGTTCCTACCAGAAAGCCATGTTTCTGAACATATCCTTTGTGTTAAGTTAGTTATAAATTAGAAACAGCGAGCAAGTTTGAAAAACATGGCACTAAAGTCTTTCTAGCTAGACTAGCTCACAGTGAAATTTTTGTACTATGTTTTACTTTGCCTGTCCTCAAATAAATCACACTTTATGGCACAGGACACAAGTCAAGAAGAAACGGATCTATAAATGACATTTTTAGGATGACAGGATTCTATTTTTTAACTTTTATCCAAAGGAAAACTTGAATCATCAAAGCCCAATTCCCCACCATGCAAAAGCTCAGCCCTAGGTCAACTTCAAATAACTAAATAAAGAAAAAAGTTTCCCCACCCTGCAGCTAACCCTTGCCCTTGTGTTCTTAACATGGACACCTGAAGTTGTGGCAAAAGGTTTGCTATTCCTGCCCTCACGCAGAAGCGTTGAACGTGTGCAGGATTTCCACAATTTCATGCTCTGAGGTGCACACAGATGAGAGATGAAGCTTTCCTGGGGGTACAGGACTTGGTACTCAGTATGGGTATAGCTGTGCTCTGTGCAGGAGCAACACTGAGACAGCCGGGAGTCTGTGCTTGAGATGAGAGCAGATTAAGAGATTTGGTTGTCCCTGGGCTTTAAAGCCTGTTTATGATGCAGAGAGACATATGAGAGAGAAAAAAAATTTGAGCAACTTTCAAGGGGGAAAAAGTAAGCTACAACATCAATCAGTGGAAACACAAGAGTTTTAGCAGAAAGTAAAACTTAACCCCGGGGAGCTGGCTTTGGGCAGAGCTCAGTGACGGAGGATTTGGATGTTTCATATAAATAAACAGCATGAAGTTATTTTGATGAATGCTTTCAAGTGCATGTCTCTGTGACTATCCTAAAACTCCTGTGTTTACAAATATTTCTTGGAGAGTGGAAATCGTATGCATTATGCATTACATATCCATTTACACCATGGGCTGCCTCAGCCAGGGCTGACTGTGACCTAGATTCATTTTTGTCCGACCAGGAACAGCACTGGTACCACCAACCCCAAGACTCAGCTGCATCCCAGAAACAGCGAGGTACTGAAATTAGTCAGTTTAGGAGTAGCCAGTTGTTCAGTACAACTGTATGAGGCGCATGAAAAGGGAATGGAGCAGATGTTGGATGCCTGGTGGGCCCCAAATTCAGTGGCAGAAATAGAGACGATTGGTGAGTTAACAAGGCTGAGTCTGTCAGTGCCTTGCGCTTTGCTCAGAGCTTCCACCTGGTGAAAGCAGCTCCTCTCACTTGATCAAAGCGCTGGCTTGCCCATCTGGAGGTGCTTTATGTTCCTGTTGGGAGTCTGCGAATGATAACACGAGGTGCAGAACCACAGGGAAGCTGAGGTAAAGCAGCTGCAGGACATACTAACTGAACCACAACGTCAAAGCAAGGGCTGCTGCAGGTCACGGGAGGACCCTGCTCATTGCAAGTGAGATTACATAAATACTGCTGGTCACAAGGGGATTCGGTACAATGATCAGAGCGAGACCAAAAAAATGTAAAGAACTTACTTGATTTTTCTTCTTTAATGTTGTATTCCAGCACACCAGGAGCCTCGTTCTGTACTGGCAGGCGGACTGCAAGGACCATGTTGTTCACATTACCCTCTTTCCTAACCAAGAATATCTGGAAAAGGAGAAAGGAATCAAGAGCTTAGCTACATTATGTGAGCTTCTCAACTTTATTTTAGGTCATCGGCAATGAGGTTTTTTTATCAGTACAATCCACCTTTAAGTGATCTTATTTTAGCTTCATTCCACTTGGTTGAACTTTACATGACAAAAATAATGAATAAAGGGACATTTCATCTGGATGAAATTCAGACCTGTGAAGGAACCAGTAAAATTTCTATCCATCACTGATGTCCCACTTATGCCTAAGGCAAACTATTTCACTAACTGAAGAGTACAATGCTGCACTCCCAATTTGTCAAGTGATGCTCCTCTTGTAAGTGCCCTAAATCACGGACAATTCACCCTAGAATGTCCCAGTCCAGCTCTAAAGCATGGGAGACACTTGTCCATTGACAGGGGAAGGATTCAGGTGTTCACAAGTGGAACGTAAGGCCAAAGGCTCTGATGGACACAGAGTTTTTTCATGGGACCAGAAGAACATGCAGGCTGGCAGGAACCCCAGGAGGGCCCTTGTCCAAGCCCCTGGGTGAAACCATGAGCCCAGAAAAAGCTGCTCAAGGTTTTGTCCAGACAGGTCTGGAGAACCTGATGCCTGGTGTCCCTGCAGGACATTTCCGACAGAGCTGCCCAACCAGGCCGTGCCAGCCTGGATCAGGGGCGGTGTTTTGCCTTTGTCCTTGCTTTGTCCTGCTAACTCTGTCCCCACAGCTTGTCTAAGATCCCTCTGGATGGCAGCCCTGACTTCAAGTGTATTCACTGGTCCAAAAATCACAGAGCAGATGTGGTTGGAAGGAACCTCTGGAGATCATCTAGTCCAACACACATGCTCTAAGATGGATTGACTATGGCAAGTCACTCAGGATTGTGTCTTGCCAAGTGGTTATTACTTCCAATGATGGAGCCTCTACAGCCTCTTGGGCAACCTGTTCCAATGTTTGATTGTCCTGATAGGTAAAAAAGTTTTTCTTAATGTTTAAACAGAATTTCCTGTGTTTCAATTGATGCCCACTGCACTTCATCCTTTCACTGGATACCACTGAGAATGGTCCCGTCAGGTATTCATACACCCTGATAAGAACTGGAACCAGAGGAACCGCTGTAGGCATTTCTTCCCATCAATGGGACCAGTGAAAATTAAAAAGAAAAATGAAGAAAGAGGAAAGGGGAAAAAAGAAAGATGGAAAAAAAGAGAATAGAAAGAAAAAAGGAAACATAGAAGAAAGAAGCCAGAATAAAAAAGAAAAAGAAAAAAAATCAGAAAAAGTAAAAAAAGAAAAAAAATCTCATTTTTTGTATTGTGTGAGCTCCTAAGTGTGTTTCTAATTAAAGCTCATTGTCAAGGATATTTTTAGCTTGTACCTTGAAGCTGCAGATACAAAGACAAAGTAATCTTCACCTTTATCTGTTCTTTGCTAGCAGGTTTTGGCAGGAGAGAGACAAGGTATTTTAATAAAAACTGAATTACAAAATTGGGCTAATTCTGGAGTCTGGATACTAATATTAGAAAGAAGAAATGTGAGTTGATAAAATGATTAATCAATTATAATGCAGTGGAAGTCTAATAAGAAAACATTAATTTCTTGGACAGAGGAATTTTAAAAAAGCTTGACTAGAAACCAGGACCTTTCTCTGCAGGAGTCCCAGTCATGAGGGCATCTCCTGTCGCTTTGAAGGAACCCATGCTAAATGTGCAGCTTTGGGACAGCTTCACAACTTCACATGGTGCTGTCATTTTGGCCTCTACCATTCATAAGAAATTGAGCCCCATGGGCTCAGGCCCACCAGCAGCACAAAGAAAATTCAAACAAGCACATAGCAAACAAGTGCATGGCTGAACCAGGCCTATTTCTAACGCAGGGCGCAGCCCCCACCTCCTATACCACAGAAAGTATCTGCAGGTTGGAAAAAGCCGTGAAGGCTCTCCTTTCCTCAGGTCCTACCACCCATGAGGCAGCACGGTCCCTCTAACCCACCTCGAGAGACTGCTGCGACCGTGGATCTCAGGTGGCACAACCTCACGTTGCATTGGTCAAGCGCTTCATCTGAACTTAAACTTAAAGCAACAAGAGAAGTGAAACCTGGAAATGAATCACTTCTGGTTTCGTGATGGGCATGACTGGTTGCCACGGCTCCAAAGGCTAAAATTGGACCATGGCTGTTCAGATGAGACGGGAGTGGGTTTTCTGAGCTCTACCTAACCCTAGTGCCTGGTCAGGACCGGTACTCGAACCAGTCTCTTCCGTTTTCACTGGTGATGGGAAAGATGTGGTGCTGATTCAGCTTCAGGTGGGCTCAGAGTGGGCAGAAGAGCCTGCCCTTGCCATGGGACTCCTCTGATGCGTCAGCTCTTCTGCCTGCTTCAAGCTGCAACTGAAGACCAAGGATGGTGTGAGCAGGAGGAACAGAGGTAAGATTTATCCCCAAAGCCACTCAGAGCTGCTCCAAATTAGGATAGTCAACATACCTATGGGTATGGTGGTGAATGAGAAAGCATCTCCATGAATCTACATGCTAAGCAAATAAAGCCACAGACAAGATTTCTTGCTTCCCCAAAGCCATTATATCTGTCTTGCGTCATTATGAGTGGCTAAACCATCAAAATGTAATGGAAACAAAGAGCATAGTCTGCTCATTATTTTTGCTTCCACATGAATAAAAATGCCGTTCCTTGCTCTACCAAGGACAGGAAATGTGGTTGTCTGAACCAAAAATGCTTTGGACTTACCCCTGCTGTTTCTTTTCCAAGGATCGCCCCAGCTCTTTCCTGGTTCATGTTCAGCTGCAGCCAGACAGGACACGTCTTGATGAGTTTATCGAGGATGCTGATGCCTGGAAGCGGGAGGAAGTTTCGCAGGGCAGTGGCCGGACAGAGAGGTGTCTCTTTTCCCTCTTCACCAGTATCTCCGATTGGGCTGAAACACAGCAAGGGAGTCCTTTGTAAGCAGAACTGCAAATGGAAACCTTGTGGGGAGGTGGTAAGGGCTGTAGATGCAAACACAGAGGCACTTACACCCCAGGAGAGTGCCTTGAGTGGCATCAGACCACAGACACCTTGCTATGATAGGGGCAAAGTGGGTGCACAGGTCTCGACAGATAGATATGTGCTGACCTCTCTTCTCGGTGACAAACAGTGATAGGACAAGAGGTAATGGGCACAAGCTGGAACACAGGAGGTTCCACTTAAATTTGAGAAGAAACTTCTTCTCAGTGAGGGTGACAGAGCACTGGAACAGGCTGCCCAGAGAGGTTGTGGAGTCTCCTTCTCTGGAGACATTCAAAACCCGCCTGGACGCCTTCCTGTGCAACCTCATCTGGGTGTTCCTGCTCCGGCAGGGGGATTGGACTGGATGAGCTTTTGAGGTCTCTTCCAATCCCTAACGTTCTGTGATTCTGTGACTTAAGGACTACAGCCTCGTGCTGCTGCTGCACACCTGGGTTTCAGACCACGGGCTTGCAGGGTGCTTTGTGCTGAGGTCTTTGCTTTTGCTGTGCCACTGCCAGCAATTCTCTGATCATGCAGGAGCTGTGATGGGCACCGGTGTAGTATCTTGCCCCACTTTTGGAGCAATCAGAGAAAGCCTGCCAGCAGCAGCCAGAGGCACTGTCAGCTGCTCTTGCATTTCGGCAGCCACCCTCTGCACCCACCTTAGGTAGTCTGCAAAAAGGCAGACTAAGACATCTCCCTGTTTAAAAATAACACCGAGAAGTCCCTGTCTCCACTGAGGAGTTTGCACTAGTGCAGGTGGATGCAGAGGTGGATGCTCCTCCACCCCTGCACCCAGGGAGCCACCAGTGGCTGCTCACAGGGAGGGGGACATCCTCCAGCTCTGTTGTCACTCACAGGATACAGAAGGAGGAGGTAGAGTAGGTAAGATGAATTCAGCAGCAGATTATCCACTACAGAAGAGCTATCTGTGCTGATTCCCAAGGGCTGACCTGCAGCAGGAGAATAAATCTGGGGACAGCCCTGATACTGAACCCTTTCCTGCACCGAGGGAGGGGAATGGGAGGAAGCACAGGAAATGTGGAGAAACACCAGAGGGAACTTCAGGAGGAAAGAAAAGAAAACTTCATTTCCCTCTTTTTTTTCCTGCTACATTTGTCATTTTGGCCAGTCCTAAAGACATGACTGGAAGCTCCAGAAAGATGTATGGGAGATGCTGAGTGAGAAGACAGGGGCCATCCTGCAGCACCATGTCAGCACCTTATGGCTCAGAGCCTATTCTCAGCCGTACAAGATGTAAAAATACTGAAACTACGCTGCTGAGGATATTAAAGCCCTGGGACATGTTCTTCTTTGGATTCCTGTTCTGATCAGAGACACAAAGAACTAATTCTACCTATTTTTAGTCCCTGCAGTCTAATGGCAGACTGGTATTAAATGCTGGTTTCTAGCTGTAGCACTGATTCAATGAAGTATTTATGCAAGTGCTTAGCACGGCAGTCAGAGGAAATACTTGTGCAGGAAGGTCTGGTCATAGGAGCTCTGCTGGATAAGGCTATAGGCTCATGGATACAGGCTTGCCATTCATTTGATTAATTGATGTTAAAAGTAAAGAAAATGTAGAAGAACATACATAAAAATGTTTTTCTGCACCAGTTTTGCTGCTTTGATGTCAGAGCTGAAAAGAGGAGGACTCTTACTTTTGATTTGGTCTTATTTCAAGTCTTTTTCTTTTTTCTCTTATTTTTAAAGATACAGATATTAAAGCAGTACATTTCAAATAAGGTCAGACTTAAACTACTAAAAGAGAGTCCCTTCAAAGGCCTAACCTAACACAGCATGCTTACCCCAAAAGTTATTTTTTGTAAAAATAGCCTTTCAAATATCAAAACCAACAGTGAGATTTTATTTTTAGTAGTATTTTTTCATTTGCAACCCTACAGAGACAGCTTCCTTAGAAAATACCCATTCCTCTGCAATCCCAGTTGCTGATTCAGGGTATTAGTCCACAGAACCTTGATTTTAATCAATCCATTTTTGAGATCACAGCCAAGAGAGTAAGAATGAGGAACCGTGCTTAAAAAAGCAAATAGAAATAAGTGAAACACTCTTGCTTCACTTGTGATAAAAGCCCAGCTTGTCACACAGGTGAGGAAATATCTTTCCCATGCAATAGCATATGATTTTAATCAGTATCATCTGAATACATAGAGTAAAACAGTGGAGGGCAGCTTTTGGAAGTTAACCTGATTCATCTCTCATTTCTTTCTTTGCAGCAGAAACCATAAGAAATGCACAGTAACCATGTGAAAGGAAAACGTGTGTTGATGGCAACATTGATGCTCGGTAATGGGAAAGAAGTAATGAGCTGAAGGAAAAGCCAGGTGAGTTATAATGAAATGTTCTGTAACACTGTTAGCAAGAGCTACTCCTCAAATTAGTCACACAGGCATGAATCTGATCGTACCAATGATGTGTGAAACCTAAACCAAAAGGACGCCAGTGCTGATCATGTCTTGCTGTGGCACCAGAAGGTGACGTGCATTGCAATAGCTCCAGTGATGCTGAACTTCGTTACCCATTAATTATGTAAGGTCAGCAAAAAGCACTGATGCTCAGAAACACCCAGTGAAAGAGGAAACTTTGAAAAAAAGGAAAGGCAAGAAGAGTCATTAATGGGATCATATTAAAACTGGGGAATATTAGGCTAGATGATTCCTGGCAGTGAGTTACAACAGACGATAGGTAAGTTCCCAAGAGAAGGGGAAGAGGATCACATTACCCAAATCTCTTAAAATGCCATGTTTAGAACAATAGCAAACACTTTATTGAGTCAAATCCTGTGCTGGCTAAGAAATGGGAGTGAATGACCCAACAGACCTTTTCCAGCTGTAACGCTGTGACCTGTGGCACACCAGTTGATGCAGTTATGGCACCGATGCCTGACTTCTTTCCTGGGCACAGCTGTCACAAAGATCCAGATGCCGGGCTGCAGGAGTGCTTAATCCTGCATTTTAATCTGGCTCTGCTCTGTATCTGCACAGAGAGGAGGGAGCCCATGCAGGCCCTGGGTTCTTGCTGTGCTGCCAGCTGAAGGGATTTGCAGGGCCACCATGGTGAGCAGCTGGCCTTTGCTCTTTCACTTGCTCAGAATTCACACATCAGATGATTTCTAAGATCACAGATTTCAGAAATAACATGCAACTCTCTCCTCCTCCTCCCACAGTCCTGCAAAACCCTTTGACTGATACAGGCAGGGGCTCGTTTTTGTGAGGTGCGATGTGAAGCTGAAAAACTGGCCCTGGAGGTGCCTGCTTCTCATTTTTTTATTTTATTGAGTTCTTACTGGAAAGTACTTTTAAATCCTGCAGTTTCTCTGCTAAATTGAATCCAGTTGGGATGCAGGGAGCTGTGTGCTGCATACTGACTGGCAACACAGGTTAATTAATTGCACAGTGATTACACTCACACACCTGCCCCGCTTTGGCAGAAGGCATCAGGTTGCTTGTTGGAAGCAATAATAATGACAGCAGTGATCTGAATTATTGTGCAGTGACCATACACTGAAGTAATGACACCACCGTGACTCATTGCTTTAGAAATAAAAAGCCACACTTGGCAGCTGAATATTCCCCAAAATCATCAGAACTGCGAGGGGACGTAATCCACTGAATTTCACGCAGGTGCAGGCCTGTCCCTACCTTTGCAGGGGAATTCAGAAATACTGCCTCATATTTGCTGGCATGAGGGGCTTCCTGGCTGTATGACACAGGCCTGGTCACTCTGAATTTCCCCGAGGCAGCTGAGACACGTGAATTGTGTGCAGCAGCACCAGGGGCTGTCAGATGGATTCTTCGCTCCTGCCCATTTGCAGCTTCTGCCTGCCACCAGACCAGACCGGAGAAGATACATCAGGTGTCATTAAATCTGAATCTTAAATTGGAAACCAAATGCTCTGTAGTGCACTGATAAGTAAAGACTGAGGGCCTTAGCATTGTTTAAATAGACCAGGTGTAAGAATTAGCAGCTAGCTTTTTATTATTATCTTTTATTGCTTTTATTTCTCACCCTGAATATTAGAAGACATCAAGAGAGAGCAAGAGCAAGGGTTTGCTGTGCTATCCTCAAGGAAAGAGATACTCTGGTATTTATATTTATTTATATTTATATTTATA